TATAAAATATTAGGAGCATATGTATGCATTTATTTTGTTTGATTTTATCAGTTTATTATTTAAAAATATTAATTTATATATATTAAATTTAAATGATTTTCTAATACATATTAATTATTTTATTGGCTATTTTTAATAATCTAATTAAATGCTTTTATATAATAATTTTATATAACCTTAATAATTATTTGTGTCGATAAACATGGCCTCATTTTCCTTTTGTGGTTCTGACTTCTGAGTGATTGGAGCCACTTTAATAATATATGGTGGAGAAAGGAAAAGAGAAGAACCACCACTCCCCTACAATATAAAAAATATATTCATTTATTTTTTTAAAAATTAAGAGTGAGACTCGAATCTCACATTTTTAAATTTGTATAAGAAAGTCTTTACAAAAAATTAATAGTCACTAAATTATAAAATCATTTTTATTTATTTTATTTTTTATCATATGATATATGCGTGAATTATATCAAAAGATAAAAATAATTATCTTTTCATTTATGTAACTTAAAAATCAAGAAAATGAAAGAAAAAATATATTATATCTATGTTCATTTAGAAATATCTATATATAAAACTAAGGGCAGCTACTAGAACCAAGTCCTATTCATCTAGAAATTAAATAATGACCTCATTCAAGTCAATTTTATCGTTTTCCTTTTAAAAATGTAAACGGGTGTGGTTTTTCTTTTCCACAGTGTTATAATATTATGAATGGACTGAATTTGTCCCAATGTCAATGCCAACCACCTACCCTAGTGCCCCATCTCTACAGTGTTTTTCTTTTTTCTTGCTTTGGAATATATACTTCTTCCTCAATAGTTACAAGTTCTAAGGCATGTGCATATTACATTTCATTTTTCCTATACATAAAAAGTAACATGCTTCTTCGGCCACCCCACGCCGGGGGCGGACCTGCGAAGAACATTGGGTTAGGCACAGACCAACCCATCTCCCAAAAATTATTTATATTTTTAAAGTTTTATACCGGTAAGTCCTACCTACTAAAATAAGAATAATACAAAAGATTTTTTAACTTTTAAGTTTTATTAGTTAAAAAATACAATAAATAATATCCAATAATATATCCTTTTTTTGGCCCTTTCCCACACCAATCTTGGTCTCACCTTCTTCACAAAAAATAACCAATTTAAGCAAAAAAAAAAAAAAAAAAAACCAGAAAATAAGTGATTGCCGTATTATGTCCACCAAAGCTAACATTCATACACCACTATGATACAATCACATGACCTTAATTACCCCATACTAAGAAAATACAGAAAGATTTAAAAAAAAAAAAAAAGTTAAAAGGATCGATTGACTGTCGGGAATTGTAGGTAAGATTCTAATTATTCTGCCAGAACAACCTCAGCCAGGGCCGTGGTGGAAGAGCCGTCGTGGCTCAGTACATTTGCGGCGGCTTCCTTCAGGTCCTTCATTCTGTAGCAGACCTTCTGCCCGTCTTCGCCTTTTATGTCCTCCGTCAGCATCACGACGTTCATCTTAAGTGAGACGTTGAAAGTAATTGAGATGTTGTGGAGGCTAACAAGTCGCTTAGAAAACTCAACAAGCGGGATGAGATGACCCATCCCGGGACTGGGTAGAACGGCCACATGAGTTTTCTTCATTTCCGCCATGGGAGTGGATAAAATCAGCAGGATTTTAGAAGCTTCAATTTGGAGGTAGGAGTGGGTATGGTTGTGGAGGAATAAAAGAAGAGGAACGGTGAGGTTTATATTAGATTAAAGGAGGGGGTTAAAACTAAAAGTAATAGTAAATGGAATGAATACCGTCAAGAGAATTTGTTTATTTGTTCTCAATATTAATCTATTTCGTATCTTATAATCAGATTTAATTCGATTAATTTAAAATTAAATTGTATTGAATTATATCAAAGAAATTTTTTTTTAATATTTATTTTATTTTTATTTTTTTTTAACAAATTTACAAGAGATCGAATTTGAATCGTTACCCTGAAATAAAAAAATGTATTTATACGTAACTTGATGTGGTTGGATATGAAAGTCTAAGCGTAACATTTATTTTTTTTATTTTTAAAATTTAAATTTAAGATTTATATATAAAAAAAATTAAATTCCTGTTTATTCGGATAAACAAATTCAGTGGTGGACTTTGTTTATTCGTGCGGAAAATAATTTTAGAATGAAAGTGAAATTAATTAGTAATTGATTGGGACGGCAAATTATAGAAGAGAGAGAGAGATTGTACGTTTCCGGGTTGTGGGCTACAACACTGGCAACACCCCTATGTTTACGTGCTGCTGATGTCAGTTCACACGCAAGACATGTGTATCCCTTTTATATATGCGTTTTTATAAAAAGTTAAGAGCAGTGCTAGGGGCACTCGCCTCCTGCACTCTCCGTCCAACACATGCTTTTTTATTGGGCCACGTAAGCTTGGTTCGGGTATGAAATGATTACTTGTCCTAACCAACATAACGTGGCCCAATGAAATTGGAAGTGTTGGTCAGAGAGTGCAAATGGCGAGTGTTGCTAGCGTTGCTCAAAAGTTAAATGTTTGTGTAATTGTGGGTTACAAATGTATAAAAGGGAAAAGTTCCTGTCAGCCTTACCTTTTAAAGATTAGGAGGAAAATCATCCTAAAACTACGTTGTTTCAATAACTTTTTATTGAAAAAGACTAAAATACTCTATTTTTAAAGCACTCCTAAAGGTGATATTTGTC